GGATTGCGCAATCCAAGTGGAGAGAGGGGTTGAAACGATTGCGCAATCTGGAGGCGGAGCTTGATTTTTCCTCATAGTCCATCTCGTCCTGTATTTGATCAGGATATGAAGAAATTCAGCGATTTTGAATAAGAAAAATATTACAAGTGTTTAAGTTAATTGAACATGTGTTTAAAGTACAAAGCATTATATAAATATGACAGTTTAATGTTTAATATTGTTTTTTCTTTTTAAGTTCCATGATGCCTCTAGTGACCACACGTCACTGGTGCCTGTGGTGGCCTTCATTCAGTTTTAAGTGGAACAGAATTTTGCCTCTTTAAAGGGCCCATCAGAGGCTTGGGGTCAAAGACAGTTTACTTGTTTATTTCAGTCGAGGTGACCCCTACAAACATAAAACTCAGAACGTATGGTGTACGGGCGTGGGAGTCGCATTCAAAAAGTGACAAGCACGTTAGCGCTGTGAAAGACCTGAGACACACGACCGCTATTAGCCAGTTCTGCTGTTCCGGCTCCAGCACTAGCACTGGCTCATCGGCAGAACTTTCTATTTTCATCAGAAACAGAGTTGCAGCTAAGTGCAAAGTTGTCATACACAAGTTTTCCGAGGGGGAACACAGAACCGTGAACGTTTTAAACCTGAGTGACAACTACTCTCCACCCTGGCAGCAGCTTTGCGTTTCGGCTCGGTTCGTTCAGCCTCGGTCCAGTGACCGCACACAGCCACGCTGTTTCGGAACCTCCTCTCTGGTCCGGTCGGTGGTTCTAAGCTGGCAGAAGCGAGGACAGCACGCTTACAGTTTTGACWTCCCGTGGATTATCATCATTTTTAGTTTCAAGCTAAGTCATTTATAGATTGTCCTATCTATCAACGCGCTCAGGTTTAATTTAAAAGAGCTGATTGTCAGATATTGTTCAAAATTAATCCTTCAGRGTGTATAAATCTCACTTGCAGCCTCCTTGCACAGATGACCTAGTCTACATCATCATTTACATGGTATGCTTTGCAGTGTCAATAAAATGGCTGTCTGTGTGACAATAAATTAAGAAAAAAAATATAAAAACTAAACAGCCTACAGTATTCTTACAGACTTTATTTTACAGTTAAAATAAATGTTCATCAAATAAAACCTAATGTTATGAATAATCGTGGATCATTTTAACAAAAATTAACGGGCATGTCCAAATCTAGATWTATCAGAGCATTAGAAGAACGGTGGATTTACAATGTGAACCATTGTTTTCTAATGTAAGGTTTAATGGCAGTGAAAAATATTACTAATTCCTGGGGTAAAGAAATGCTCTCTCGATGGACAATGACATAGGTCAGTTGTTACTTCTACAATTCATTCAGAAATGTGAGTGTAACCCCCCACCCTCCACACACACACACACACACACCCACACACMCACACACACWCTTACACACTTCAACTTCTACAACGGCCAGACCACAAAGGCCTGTTCCTGTCCAAAGGTTCTCATGACAACAGATGCAACACATTAATCACTCACTTCCTAGCTTCCCTTCCAAGACAATGTCTGTATTCTACAACACAATCAAGCTTGCAGGCAAACCATTCAAGCTGCAAAAAGCCTTCAATAACACAACTTGATGTGGAAGTGGTGTAATGTAAAAACGTCCCCATGTGGAATTGTGTGGTGAAAGCAGCCTATACCAGTAAGGAAGTGGTAGGAGTTGTTGGACAAAGATATGAAACGTTTTTATGATACTGAAAAGTTAACARTGGTTTGTGGTCACTAAAAGTGCAGTAGTTATAACTGATAATATAAACACCAACAGCAAGGCTGATACAAAATACCAGTAAAATAAATGCAGTTCTTAAAACAAAACAAAAAAAAAGGCTGACCTGTTCCAGTAACTCCAGAATTGTTCCTTGAGATAGGTCCGATGGCTGTGATCATCCCCAAAAGAGGCTTTGCTCTCAATCCAATGTATAATATGTCCCTCCACAGCTTTTCATAAAATGAAACACAAAAATGTTCATAAAACTGCTTTTCTTTACACCATATCCAACACAATGTATGAATTGGGCGCAGCACTGCAATGTGTTACATTTGTAGTATTTTTATTTAGAAAAAATAAATAAATACAGATGTCTATAAAACAAATACATACCAACAGGAACCTCCAGGATAATATCAGGGGTTTTATCATAACCCATGGTTCTCAGCTGATTTTCATCTATAAAATAGGGAGTGAAGAATTTTAATAATTGTTATTTTGCATGGGGAAAAAAATAAAAGCTAATCAAAAAGTATTTCAATTAACTGAATGTTTTCTTTTAGTTTAGGAAATTTAAAGAAACTTGTATTTTAAACCAAACAAAAGCTTATTAAATTTCTCATAAAACATCAAAATTTTGAAATGGAAGAGATGGTAAATGACACAAAGTGAAATAAAATGAATAAATACTGCCCCATACGTATTAGCTGCAACAGCACAAAAACTTCTTACACTTAATTAGAGAGCCTCACTCCTGGTTGCCATTTGGCTACACTTTATAAAATATACAGCAAGAGGACCCGTTTGGCATTACTGCCTCTGTTCGCCTGACCCCTGACAGTGCAGGCTGCAGCCATTGTCCTTGACTTCTGGCGTGCTTTGGTCATTATACCTCCAACACCTGATTTCTCCATTAAATCTCAGGCTGACCAGGTCATTCAGTTCCAAGGCCCTGCCTCTTTGTCTCCAGCCAAGCTCAACTAATGGGGCATGGAAGGGAATTGAAGAGAGATGGAGGGTGGCGGTGTCAGTRGTGGTGAGGAGGCAGCATCAGCCAAGGGTGAAGAAAAAGAGCTGAGACAGGTCAGCGAGCCCGCCAGAGGCTTGTGGTACAGCAGGGYATGCTGATTGTGATAATGTAGGTGTAGCTGTGTGTTTGTCACCGGATAGGGACCTCTGTTCACACACACATACACTGGGCTGTTGATATTCTCATGTGGCTGTGATCGCCTTTTTACATCAGCTTTGATTAAAATTAATGGGCCATCCCTGCTGTTGGGTGGCTTATTTCCAATCCATTTATCAGATGGGGTGAGGCTGCTTCAGCGGCCCTTGTGCCCCTCGAACTCTGACAGTTTTAGAACAGTCCTGCAGAAAGGTCAGTGCTTCATGTCCAAATAAATGATATGGTCTTAATGACAGAGGGAATGACTTTTATCTTTCATCATTCACCTGACCTTGGGGATGGTGATATGATGAGGTGATGGAAGGGATGGTTTAAATCTCCCTCAAACAATTTCATATCTGGACATTCTATTGTAATTTAAAATAGTAAAACCAAGACAATTGTTTCAGAGAAGTCAACATAAAAAACTATTTTATTAAACAGATTAAGTAAATGACAAATGTYTTATTCTGAATGACCAGTCAAACAAAACCAAAATAAACACAAAGCCAGAAAATAAAATAGTTCAACTTTGTCTGTGGAACCACTTGGTTGCTCTAATTATAGCAATTATACCTGTGAGGTGTGGATAAAAGCTAATTAAAGTGAGGCTTTCAGGGAATTGATTAAGCTTTTGTGGCTGTAATTCAGAGCACTCAGCTGGATCACAAGACATGGGACACTGCTTTAAATTCAGAGCCCAGCTATCCATTTACAATGAATATTAAAAACAATATAGTGTCAGCAAATTGACAAAAAAGACTGCATTCATAGCATCTACCAGGTTTTGGGGATTAATTCTAAAACTCAATAGGAACAATTTAAAGACCAAAAAAAGTGTGATATGAAGGTCAAGAAGTGACTTACCCAGAAAGGAAAGATTTTTCTCCTTCAGTTTGTCACAGAGCAAAATTTCATGCTCTTGTCCAATGACACTGGGAACAGAGTTAAGGAATCTAATGTACAACAATACTTCACATCTAGTCAAACAAAAGAATGGTCCACAGGAACATAAATGAAACCAGGGCATTGGATGGTAACAGGCTATTTTGTTTTCCACTTATGTGCAATGGGGCACACACTAATGACTAATGATGTTGAATGCATTTTAACTCTTTAATTGTATAAATTCATATTTGAATTTCTTGATGACATGGAGAATATGTAGAGGCAAAGTGTCTGAAGTGGCTTTATTTGGTGTGAACATGTGATGAAAACATGTCTTTGATGACAAAGATGTCCCAAGACTGGAATGTTGTGTAATATCGTCATGGAAAAGTCTAGGGAAACACAACCACTTCCAATCAAGATATTGTAGGACATAATCAGACTTTCAGGGGAAATCAGCTTTCCTCAACAAAACTCCAAGGTGCATTCTCAATGCAAAAAAAAAGGAAAGAAAAAAAATCAGTTATACAAAATGTTTAAAAACTCCACTGATTACTCATTCCAATAAACAACCTATTAGAAAAAAAATTCTGAATGAACATCAGTCTGAGTTAGGATGCCTGATGCAACAGATTACGGTAGTTTTTTCTTTATTTTTTTTTACCTAAAGCTCAACATCATGAATAATCTATTTTAGTCAAGAGGTGGAAATGTTCTCACAGCATCATGTTACACTCAACAAACACTAGCAGCTTAAACATAGGTTCTAATAAATTCATACCATGACTTGCACACATGCATAAAAAGCCATTTCTTTTCAAGTTTGTTCTTTGAAAGCACACACAGCAAGACGGTTATTATGAACTCTGCAGAGAAGTAACAGACTTTCAGTTGACTCTAAAGGGACTGCCACAGAATAGAGAAAATGAGGGGAGGGGGAAAGGAGGGCAGGATGGGACAGGCTTGACTGACTATGAACAGAGTAACAGCCCCACCACACTCAACAAAGCAGAGAGARACACAATAACACATACTTACACGTTTACAATTATTTAAATAAGACTCCTCCCCAACGAAATATTTATTGTGCTACCCAGCTGGTTACCCCCAAATAGAATGGACTACCATTCTGACCAAATAGTGGTTAAGAAAGGGTTATTTATAGCTGCACAAAGGATGGAAATGAAATAGTATAATCTGACAAACTAAACGTAAAATTAAGAGTTTCACTTGGTCTAATGTAACTCACACTGTATGCTGGGCTAAACTGCTTTTTTAAAACTAAATGTAATCCAGTTAAAAATTATATTAAAAATCTTTGGGATATGTGTAGTAATGCTTTTCCACAGTGCTTTTAAATTATTATATTTGTTTCACAGAATATTGGGTCTGATTCGCTGAATTCATATGAAGGTGAATTCACATTAGCCTATCGTCTCCTCCAGCTCTTCCCTCCATCGCATTCAGGCTCTTGGATCGCTGATAGTGGTACGGCAGATGGGATGAAACGTCTCCTCCGTGAAGCAGAACTTTTATGTCAGGTGAAGCCAGACACATCTCATCCCCTTCAATAGCTCCTCGTCATTTTCAAGCTTAAAATTTTATGGGGATAGGATACTGTTTGATGCAGTCTACCAGCGGTCCATAACAGCAGTCATTTATTGTGCACTGAAAAGAAGGGGAAGAAATATTATGGCATGCCAAAAAAAAGGTGGGCAGTGTTTCCCCTAGAAAATTCATCTTGGCGGGGCAGGGCAGGGCGGGGGGACGGACGGACTTGTTTTAAACATTAATTTACGTGACTCACCTGCAATTAAGGTAATAAATTTACACATACATGAATATTTAATTGCCCAACTACATCCTAGTTAAGGACTCCTCATGATAATTATCAATAAAATTATTATTGATACTAAATGATTAGAACTCTGTGCAGCAGATGATCTGAGTCCAGAGTTCTCAGTTTGAAACCTTCTCGAGCTCTTCTGTGTGTCTTTAGGTGTGACAGAGTGTGGATGGTTGATTGTCTCTTTTGTGTCCCTGATGGAGACTGGAGACCTGTCCAGGTGTCTCTGGTGAACTGGAGACCTGTCCAGGTGTCTCTGGTGAACTGGAGACCTGTCCAGGTGTCCCCTGCCTTCACCCAAAGGCAGCGAGGACAGGTCAAGGTCAAAGACAAGGACGACAGGAGGAGGATTTTTCTTTATAGCAGGAAACAGACATTTAACTATAAAACATGATTTATTTTATGTTAATCTGAGTCATTTTAGTGTTGTTTGTAAATATATCTGGCAGTTTTGTAGGAATGAACACGTTTGTAATGTTTGTTCAAAATAAACCTGCTTCTTATGACTTCTGTAATATGTTTTGAATAAAATATTATCAGTAAAAACCTCCAATCATGTCCTTTCTAATAATTATCAGAACTCTAGAAGAACTGTAACTCAGCAGAGTTTCCCCAAGGATTTTTTTTAACTGTGGTGGTGACCTCTCATGTGGGGGTTTGACAAAATCTGGTTGTCCTCAAAACATTTTGGTTGTCCAAAAAATATCTCAATAAAAATACAGTTTAATAAGTAGGCTATATTGTTCTGTAAACAAAACAAAGTGTAATATATACAAATGTTCTCAGTCAGCAGGTTGACAGTTTTAGGAGCTGCTTGAGGAGAACTTCCTCGTTCTCCTCCTCATCCTCTTCTTTGAAATAGAGATAAAAAAAACCAACATCCAACATCCATAAACTTTCTGCTTACAGGTCAAACATTTTTATTTAAATAGGAGTAAACTGTGTCCTTATTAAAAGTTACAGTTTAGTGTTCTTAGCACTGAAGACTTTCTGAGGAAAGAAGTTTTTAAACATCTTTTCTATCATTTTGGTGTTTTCAACTGAGGAGCTTTGATCTGTTTATTTCAAATAAATTATAGCAGAGGAGGTTCTCTGTACAGAAAAAAATTATATATTTTTACTGGTTTTTTAACCAAACCGACAAGTTTCTCCAGTAAAATTATTGTGTAATTTAAARGCATTGAAGCACCTGGTTAAATTTAGAAGATATTATGATTCACTACAAACATCTGAAGCTGACTCAGAGAACTGTGATTTTAGAAAAAATAAAAGTCAAATGTAGACACGTCTTTACTAGACCCTCCTCCTCCTCCCCACCACCCCGYGCAGCTGCGGTCAGCGAACCTCCATCCCACCCGCGTGTGATTAATACAGATTTTTTTGCGCAAATTATAAATTTTTGATGCTCATTATACACGTTAAATGTCTGAAGGGGTTGACATGTATGAACTTTAAGTCCCGGGCTAGTCAGAGCCGAGCTGCAGGTGGACATGTTCGCTGCACCTCGCTTTAAAAACAGTCAGCTGATCTGTCGCGGTTTTGTTGCGCTCGTGACGTGAACACACGGGGAAATGCTGCGAAGTACTTTTAGAAATATAATACATATAAAATACGACGTAATCCTCGGTGGAAAATAGTCCAGGAGACGCGGGAGGTGTTCACCTGCAGCTGAGTGAAGCTGACCCCCCACAAACAGAGAAAGAAAGAAGACAGTAATTATTGATAAGGTAGTAAGCATGCTGTGGCTTCACCTGGTCCTATTTTCTTTTAAAGAAAGAAAAAGTAGCTTGCAAAGCTGTCGCATCGGTGCTACGTGATTAAAAGCAGAGCTGCGC